GAATATTTGGTGAACTGTATTCATGCAATTTCCCGAAAGCCGTCGCTTACAAAGTGTAAATTTCGAAAATTGCTATTAAGGGGTTGATCGGAGGTCGTGGAGAGAGCTTTTCTGTTACGAGGTATACGATTTATTTGCAAAATCCGGTTTCAGTGTCTCTTGTACTCCGTACTTCTTTTTAACGCTTTCGAAATTCGTTAAAGAATTCTTCTACAGTCTGAACAAATTTAAAGCAGGTATTACTTAGCATATGCAGTTACAAAAAAGAAGTTGATTAGAAAACGTGTTTTAATAAAAATAGTATTATAAAAAGCATTTGGTAGCGTTTCAAAATCGGAGCAGAAACCGACATCCAATCATAATTGTATAGCAAAAACCGAAATAAACTGAATTGTTCATGTTATTTATTATTGTATTTGCTAACGTAATTGAAACGGTTAAGGGCACTGATTAGCCACACTATTATTATTATTATTATTATTATTATTATTATTATTATTATTATTATTATTAGCCTAATTTTAGTACATAGAAACCTCTTCACTAAAGTTCTGTTTCTAGAACTCTCATTGCGATCGTGATTCCCTGACTCAACCTTTTTTTCTTTTCTTTTTATACTAAGAATAAAAGTTAAAAAACCTTTCACATGAATCGCATTTTACGACGCTATTTGTCCTACTGCGAGCGAATGCGAGACGATCAAAAGGAGATCGAATGGCGCTGGCTCCACGTCATGAGGTCACCGAAGCGCCCCGAGATAAGCAGAGCAGATAGCGCGCGAGAGAGGCTCAGTGCCCCGGCGAAGGCTCCGGGGTACGTAAAAGGCATCTCCCAAAGTGTCAAACTCAAACGAGACGTCTTGGCTGCGTCATTTCAGCCGTGCGAAAGGGGGTTGGGTATTGATGTCAATTAAACGAACCAATTTTCCAGACTTGGGGATAATGTATCAAGTAAACGTCCAAATTTTATGATCAAACTTGTATCAGTTTGCCAAAATTAATAGACTTCATTGAGCTGGATAGAAACTGAGCTTTCGCGTCTTTAAAGTTTACTTTTATAAAAAATTCTCTATCTCAGAACGACTCCTGGGTCCTTTTTGTATAGATACCCTTCCTATCGATGAATGGGAAAGGTTGAATGCCGCACAGGACTCTCTGTAATCACATTAAAAAATTAAACATTGTTGTTTCTAATTAACAATAAAATGGGGGGAAAATCTTTAATTAAGAGAGGTAAATTTTATTAAGAAATACGCGTGAATAAACACAAGAGAGATTATGTTACCGCAGTACCAACAAAATTGCCGTCGCAGTGTCTTTGGATGGTAGGATATAGGGTTGGATTACCGACGATGGCTGATTTTTACAACTCTAGCTACATACCTGAGTCAAATCAATCTGTTTGGAGGAGAATTCTAACGGTCGATTGTTCTGGAATTGTTCTGCGGTATCTTTGAAGAATTACTACGTGATCGCCGGATCAGCACTACAACGAACGGGCGCGATTTTTCCTTCCTCTTCTTTGACCTATTTTCTCCTCTTTTACCCATACTTCCATGCACTACACTACCGTTCATATCGGGAGCTTAGATTAGTGATTACAAAATCCTCTTCGTTTTGGGTGCAAACGGCGAATGGTGAAGCCAATGTTTACGACGCAATAACTCAAGCAAACATAAGTTGTTAATGCTGAAACTTAAGCAAAGTGAACGAAGACATCTTAAGGCTGGAAATTGCACAAATCTGTGTAGTCAACCTACAGACGATTAGAATGTGCAGATACTTATTGTGTTAGCCTCGTGTTTATAAAACAACTACTTATGTCAAAATGACGCGACGAAAAATTTTGTATTAAGTGAAGACCTATATCAAGAAAATGTGTATTTTCACTATTTTTTTCTTTGGACTGTGCCGTCCAAAAGGTTGTGTGTAATTGCGCGATGTCTATAGGTAGTGAAATAAAAACTCTTTCAATGGTTTAAATTAATTTAGATGTAACAAGTATATTTTTTCCATTTAGTTGAATTACCATAAATCTTCTTGGGCAATTGCATTCCCTTCGTTTTGTAAAGTAAGAATGCCTTTTCTTAAATTGTGAGCAGGGCTGCCATCGATAACTATATTTATATAACGCAGCATCCTGATAGTGAAACTGCATTGCTAAAGCGGTCACAATAGTACGAAACAGCTCCAAAGTTGTTACAAATGTACTACATAACGGGCGCAATCGTTCCTTCCTCTTCCCTTACACTTGCAAGCACTACACAATCACACACTCGGGAGCTTAGCGCTTGTCCCAACTGGGCCGGTGCCTCGCTGAAGGAGATACCTCGAGGAGGAATTCCCCGCGTGCCGACACGCAGATCGGCAGCGGATCTAACCATTCAGCGGATATCAAGCTGGCCTCATTCTCATTGAACTCTCTGAATTGTCAATAAATTCCAAAAGTTAGAATTAATTAGTGAAAGTATGTGCTGTTATAGCAAGTTCTATTCTGTTAGGAAACAGGAAAATTGAAAAAATGTAAAAAAAAATGTCTTTTAGACGCCGGTAGATAGCAACTGAGAAAATAATGGGGGGGGGGGGTGCCGGAAAGCAAGCCCAGACGAAAGAGAATAGGAAACTAAGTGGTACGAAAAGGTCTGCGCCATTCTGTAGCATCGCTAGTTGAATATACGGCTGAGACGTCATGACAAAACTTTAAAAAACAAAACCACCGATATAGAAAGTAAAACACTTTGCGTTGCAGCAAAATATACTGCTCCGCTTAGATGAAATCTTTTTTGAAAATCCAGCGGAAAGTGGTATCAGTAAACTCCTATTGTGGGGCCCCGACATTGAAAAGGTTGATTATTCTTGTTTCCACGTGCTGCAAATTACTTCCTTTAATACGTTGTCTACGTTTTATGGGACTTTAAACCGAAAACTGGTTTATGGTAAACTTACGTCTATCTGTCGATTCGTCCATCTGTGATTAACTCTAACACCTCAAATGTTCAGAGACGTTTTTCAAAATTTGACGTTATCCGATCAATTGTGGTTATCCGATAATTGGTGTGCAAGTGCTCAGTGAGGTATTCATCAAAGAGCAAACTGAACTTTTTGCAAAATCTGTGGGTAAAAAATCATAACACTACATATCTGAGGCGGTTTATGGTACAATTTCAGATGATTGCATTGTTTATCCATAAAATTCATCTACTCAAATAGAAAACCCGAGCAATGTATCTTGAATCACCAATTCAAATGTTTAAAAATATCAGAAAGATCATTCGTTTAAAAAAAATGGAAATACGTGAATAGAAGTTCATGAACGAAGAGTTGTATGAATGAAATGTTTGCATATTCAATTATTTAGTTAATGTATTAATTCTCAGTGAATATATTTTAGGATATTATTAATAGAATAGTATATATGTCGCTAGAAGCAACAGCAACAACAAAATTTGAATGTCTTAACATCCACTCTCTCGTCATTCCTGACTCAAGTGCTTTTCTCGACTCGGAAACGGTCAAAGAGGTTAAGAAAATATTTGCTCCATGCTGCTGCAAAATAATTACTTCCTTGTATTATATCGGTTTCGTTTAATACAAAGTTTACACTGTTTGAAAATTTCGCACATTTCAATTCGATTCGATTGTGGCCAGCGAAGGAGTTACTTTACTTGAAAACCGCCTCATTGATTCAACAAATTCCTCTTAAATTGTACTCAATACTTTTTCTATATTATTTTTGGGCTATGTCTGGGATTTGAATTTGAGAACGTAGGTTTATTAGTTAACTACTTCATCGAACAACGTGGCCGGATATCCCAGATGGCGTTCTTAAAAATATACATCTTTAATTGTCAAAATTAAACTATTTTAATGAGCTCATATAAATTTTTTAAGCTCAAACCATAGAATTCAGTGCCAGCATAGAGTTCTGTCCTCCATCTCAATTGAAAATTTAAATAAAATGTGTGCAGTTTTTGAGAGCACCTTGTTTACATGTTTGTGGAAAATTGTCACGTTTCTACAAAAATACGCCAAAAGGACTAACATCACAAAAATATATTTAAAAATCTATCATTGAAGGGTCTGCATTAAAAATGAAATAATCAGGCTTAAAGTTACAGTCAAATAAGAAAAAATACAACTTTTTTAATTTTCGAAATTTTAAACAGGTTTCAATCAAACGCGAACCTATTCAATTTTTATAAGCACGCTTTACTCTATTGCAGAAAAAAATAAATAAAACAATTGTTTCAGTTTGAGAAAATTTTGAAAACGACCTAGAGGTTTAAAAAATAATAATATTTATGCCAAATTCACAGATTCATAAATAATTTCGGCCAGATCGATTGAGGAATTTACATTTTGGGGACAACCCCGTGTGCGGCTATGTGCTAGAATTGTCCATTGATGGCGGACAGTGAGGGAGAGAGAGAGGGGGGAGATGGGGAGGGGAGGGAGACAGGCATTCATTTAGCCGAAAACCAATTTTTTCAGTATTAAGGACCCACAAAACGTGGATTCTGGCCACACTACGTATTTATGATAATATGATACAATTATTTACAAGAACAAGAAACGTCCATTTTTTCGGCATTGGCATAGTTATAGGGTGATACCATTTTAGGCGTGAAGCCAATTAGACAATTTTATAGTATATAGTTAAGTATATAATTATTTATTCAAAATTATATTTCAATTATCCTGAATTACATACAGTTTTTTAATATATTACAAATAAATATTATGTGCAAATACAGATTTATTTTTATCAATTAATTTATAAACTGTTCAGTACTAGATATTTTTATATTAATTTATGGGGTGGTGATACTGTTCGTTTTGAAGCTACGCCACTAGTATCAGAGACTCAGAAAACGTTTTTTTGTTGTTGTTTTTTTCGACAAAGAAAAATCGGCCCTTTTTTCTGTAGTATTGTATAAGCTTCTCTATTCAACGTGGTAGGAAGTAAAATTGTTTGTTGTTGTTTTTCGTAAAAGAACTCACCTGCGCAGGCGCAGCCCAGCAGCAACAGTAGCACTCGGCTCAGCATGGCTCAGCGGCGACGCGGGCACTGCGCCGCGACCGCGAGGACGGCGTTGAAGATGACGGCGACGGCGGCGGCGGCGGTGGCTCGGGCGCCAGTGGCAGCGATAGTCGGGGAGCGCTCCAGGCGAGAAGACAGGCTGTGACTATGCGCGGGGCAGGCGCTGCACGCGGCAACGCTGCGCGCATGGCGACAAGCATTTGTTGAGCTTTGTGACTGGTTCTTCGAGCGGCAAAATCAAGTGCTGCGCTCCATAATAAGACATGTTCAAAATTAAGAATGTTGCAACAGCCCGTGCTTTCTCGTGTTATTTCTAACTATTATGAATTATTACAATATTGCAAATTATATCGAAGTATTTAATTGGCTGTACGGGTGACGCCGCGTCCATGGCAAAGGTGCCGACGTTTCGGTCGCCATTCTGTGACCTTCCTCAGGGCGTAATGCCTTCCTCCTCAGAGGTAGGTCGCAGATTGGCGACCGAAACGTTGGCATATTTGCCATGGGCGCGGCGTCACCGGACAGCCAATTAAATCTGACTCCGGCCGCGGAAGCCTACACTCTCACATACATCGAAGAACCTACCTTCAGGTGCAACCGGCCTTCCCATAGTGAAGGGTCCCAAATAAGGTCTCCTGCAGCCCCCAAAGAGATTCCTTTCGATTTTTTACTTTATTGCTACTGCTTCTGCGGTATAGAGAAAATATGGTAATGCTGCGGGCACCAAACCAGCGAATTTGTCGTCGAAAACTCTTATTTTTGCGTCTGGTAACGAAAGTGAATCTTGTGCCATATATATATATATATTATATTATATATATATAATATATATATATAATATATATATATATATATTATATATAATATATTATATATATACTAGAGTAAATGGTTTCGCTCTAATAGCCAGCAAGAATAAAGCGTCATGACGAGATCAAAAACTTCATACAAGGGAAGATGCTCCGGAAATCGGATACCGTGGTGTCCACGGAAGCCACTTTCTCCGTTGCCAAGGGGTTAGACTCAAACCTGACCTGGTAATAAAAGGCCGGGAAGGGTCCTACGTGGTTGATGTGACTGTCCGCCACGAGGATCGGTCTAGCCTTCTGAAAGCAGGGGATGAAAAGGTGATAAAATACCAACCAATCATCCCCCTGGCAGTCCAACTTCATGGAGTACCCAACGACAGAATCCTGTCAGTGGTGGTTGGAACCTCTGGGGCTATGCCCAAATGTAGTCAGTGCCCTCAAGACCCTGGGGATCACGTCTCGAGGCGATCTACTGACTATTTTGTTAATTGCTCTATGAAGCTCTATTAAACTATACACACAATTTGTAAATTACGGTGGAGCAATTTAGCATTGCTGGTAGTAAATGCAGGAAACTTCAGTGTCCTGTGGGGAAGTCTAGGGAACACATTGGATCCTAAAATGCCTAGGAATTACCGAGTTACCACGACTTTAAGTGGGAAGTGTATGCTATTTAATGTAGCATATAGAAAATTGTGCAGTCAGAACCCATGGTTTGTGGGTCCTTGATACCGAAAACTCGATTGATGTCAAAAACGTGTCTGTTCGTTTGTCCGGACGTCAGTCTGTGGTCAGCCAAAGCACCTAAATCGTTCGACCAATTTTCTCCAAAATTGATATTCTCCAATCGATCTGGCTGATGCCATGACTTCTTGAATTTGAAACTGATATTTTAATTTTGAGAAGAACTTTACATGAATCTGCTGGAACATTTTCAACTTTTCAAACAATGGGTCCAAATTTTTAGATACACTTTTGTTGTCGGATAGAGTAAAGGACGCTGAGAGAATGATGCTGGCTCATTTTCGTAGAAACTGCATTAATTCAATTTTTTTCGACGTTTGCCTATAACTACATTTTAGAAGACAACTTTTTTCTTAATGAAAAGTACTCATCAAAACCAGAGCTTCAAATAAAGACATGGTAAATTTTTCAAAAATATGAATATTTTTGCATAATTGTGCGTGAAATTGACAATTTTAAACAATTATTTTGTCAGAAAGTACTTTAATTTTTTCACGTATGTAGCTAATAACAATAAAGAAATGGGCACTGGTCCCATTTTCTGCACACTCTATATTTCGAAAGTAGAAAAAAGTTCGACATGGCAAATTCCAATTTCCCGTACTTTGCTTGAGTGGCTGTCAGTATGTGATAGTAATTTGAGAAGTTCTTGGGGGCAATTGAATATTTTGAGAATCCCTTCTCATTATTGACACTTGCTATAACTGTATAAACAACAAACGCCGTTTTAATTGTCGAATTGTGTTATTATTTGCTTTAAAATAATTATTTTTCGTGCCTAATGTTCTACGATGTAACGTGTGGAGACAGGATTTCCATGCAAATGGATGTTTTTATTTTAGCTTCGTATGCATCATAAACTTGATTATTATATCTTTCTTGACAAGCTCATTTTAAAAATGCGTTATTTTTCCGTTTATGTTTGCGTCTTTCGGTAGTTTTTTGATAAAGTAATGCATAATGCATATTTGAACTTTTTTTCAATTAACAGTTAAAACTGTGAGTGACTTACCATACGAATTTTATTCTGTGCACTTTTTTTAAATTCTATAATCAGTACCCTAATCCATAAACAAGTTGAATTCTGAATACAGATGGAAATGAGCGTTTTTGGCAAGAATCGATAAGAAAATATTTGCCAAGCATATATGTCAAACGGATATATGCTTGGCAAATGACCACTGTTAAAATGCATGACCATTGTTAAAATGCCGCGCTGGCAACAACGCAATGCAACGCGTCCTGCTGGCTGAACTACATAGACAGTTGCCACGGCCACTGCCGTATTATTAACTTCAATTTTTTAAGGTAAAAATACTCATGTAAGTGTAATTCTTGTTCACGTAAATCTCAAATATGATTTACAAACATTTCTGTATTAGGGAAAAGTGGGCTTATAAATTTGGTTCAAATCTGATTTTCATTAACACCTCAAAACATCAAAAAAATCGAATTAAAATCTCATATCCATTTTGCTGAAGAGAGTTTTTTTTAGAAAAGGCTGAAATAATTAAGTTGCAATGTAAATGCACATTACGATTAGCGTTGCAAATATTGCGAGAAAGTACGCGCTGTTGTAGCTCTACTAGATTATTTTAAAAGTATCTCGAAGTACATAATACTGCGACAAATCGGATATATGCGTGTATTTGGTAATTTAGGGACGAATTAATCTCATTCTTGCCTGTTGGCTGTTTCCAGGCCTGGACCCTGTTTACGTTTATTATAGACCCTGGGGGTGAGGGAGAAACGTGGCAAGCGTGACGTATTCCAATCGCCCTACGTTGCTTCATTGGCCTGAGATTTCTTTCTTAAGCCGGCCGGGAATCGAATCTGGGACCGTCTCACTTGCGCGCGGTGATGTTGTAACGGTTAGCGTACCGGACTGTTGTACCCAAGTTGGTGGTTTCATACCCGATCGAAGCCGTGGAATTTTTAAGGGCGAAAAAGTCCTTCGTACGCTCCTTGTATCCCTCCTTAGGAGGGGAAGTAAAGCCGGCTGTCCCATGTTAGTAGATTTACTTGCACGTTAAAGATCCTCAAGCCTAAATGACGCCTCTGAGCTAAATTCAAATCGCCTGTTCCTCGCCCGACAAATACCTCCTTTCTCTGCTCGTTGGTGAAAGGAGCGTAGCGAAATTTGCGTGGTCAGATGGAAGAGCAGGCCTCATGGCCTGAGTCTCGCCACGTAAAATAAGGCATTAAATCAATTCAATTCCTCAGAGAAGCTAGCTAGCAGTCCATGAGCCACTCGAGAGAGAACAAATTGGATGTGAACTGAATGTTTATATAAGCGTTTTTCCCTTTTATTTCTGCAATTACATACGAGAGAATATTTTAGTAATGTTACTAACTGCTGAGACAGTGGTTGAGGAACAGATAAACAGAACATGATTGGCAATGCAGCCCCTATAACTTCCGTTCGTTCATCCGTCCGTCCGTCTTTCGTCTGTGAACAACAATAGCGCCTTAACTATTCGTAGGACTTTTTACTCAAATATAATATTCCCTGATCGATCTGGCCTAACTCGAAGCCCTGAAATTTTGAAAATAATTCTTTAAATTTGGACGAAGTATTCATCACGCCCCTAGGACATTTTCAGATTTTTTTTAAAAAATAGGTCCAAATGTTTTCTTTAATATTTTTGTAAGAATAGAGGACATTTATAAGGATGGCGTAGGTCTGACTTCCATTGTTTTCTCTTAATTTTCATATATTGCAAAAGTTCGAATTTTTTGGACTCCATCGTAGAGCTACATTATTTGAAGATAAGAATTTTTCTTCAAATAACATTTGTTCTCCGCAACTACTTCTTTAATTAATGTCATGTACATTTTTGATAATATTAGTAATTTTTGCGAAACTTTTGAGTGTAAATGGGTAATTTTAAAAACAAGGATTTCTCAAAAACATTCCCAAATGTATACATTGAAATCACTAAGGGAAACAAATACACTCAACACTATTTTAATGAAGAAAATTACACTTGTCAGTTTTAAAAGATAGATTTAGAAATAAAAGAACATTAATCTTAACTGTAATACTTTTGTCACTCCGATTATCAAACAAGTCGCATGACATAAACTCCTTCTACAATCCATGAAATAAATTTACAATCCACTTTTGAAGGTAACTGAAAGCACATTGCCTTTAACAGTGAAATGCTAAGTACAGGCCCACTTGTAGTTGGGCCATTCATTATTTTCTGATTGTTAATAAATTTTATTCAGAAAATTAATGAATGTAATAATATTATCTTTTACTTCTAAAACTCTTGCAACTAACTCCTATGAATACCGATGAAAACAATGGTAAAATAAAAAAAGCCTAGCACTAAATTAATCAGTTAACAGAAACGACTAAATTAAATTTTACGAAAAACATGAAAACCGCAAAATGAAAATCGCTAGCAAATATAGCCAATTAGGATAGCATACTCCCCATGGATGGCTTTTAATGTATGCAGAATCTACGTAAGTTTTGCATTGCAAACTTAAATTTAAAAAATGTCCCTTGCACGTAAACGTAATGTATTTTAATGGATGTACAAAATGCATCAATATTTGATTTTAGACGACCCTGAACTGGATACTCTGTGGTGAATATGTTTAATCGT